TTGGGAGAGGGTTTGCTTGTATATCGATGTATGTGCACACAATTCTATTTACATAGCACCTGGCAGATAAGGTTTTATAGAGTCCAAATTACAGTCTCCTCCCATTTTGCTGAATAGCTGAGAACAGTCAAATGTGATGCAAATGCTGTAAAATATTAATTTACTTTCTCATTTGTGCCTACTTATTTCTAAAGCATTTGTGTTGCTACACTAGCTCGAGTGATAAAGAGTTAATAATATAACTTGTTACAGTCCATCAGAGGGAAGAAACACAAGAATAAATGCAAGTCAGCATGGATTTGTGGCAAAACATACAAACAATAAAAGAAAACAAACTACAGAATGTTTGCTATAGCGATCCGCACTCAGAATGGAATCTGTACTGTTTCAAAAGCACAGCAGAACAATGTAATACCATACTGTGAGGCATGGAAGATTATCCAGAAAATGGCCCAAATAATACAGATGTGATGAGCTATAAAAATCAGGAGAGAATGTGGGAAACAGGGTCAAAGTAAAGGGCGCAATAAAAAACAACTTGTTATACACACTACTCAACAAATAAATTTTCTCTGAACATAAGAAACACAAATGCTTATAGGTAAACAGCTGTGATAAACAGCACTAAAGACTTCTATTAAATAACTCCCTGGACAAGGGAACATCAGTGGGGAAAAAAAATACAGAGTTCCTTCCAGCCCAAACCAAAACAACATGATTAGGAGATCCTCTGCCCCTTTGAGTCTCAAATTCTGGTTACAGGACAATGAATTTTATAAAAAGTGGTTTTCAGGTAGTAGATAATTTTTGCTTACATTATGGCGATTATCATTGCACTTTCATTACTCCACAAATGGAATGCATTAAAAGTTATAGAAAAATCAATGAAACATTTATGCTAACATCAAATATGTCAAACAAAATATAATGCTTATTGCCTTCTTGCCTGTAATAGTTCTAAACATGTTTTAGTATATGTGAGAAGGTAGTAATATGTAGTATAAACATTTATAGTACATTAGCCTGGAAGGTTCAAATTTATGAGGATTATAAAACATATCTCTATAATGATAAAGGCAGAATACATAAATATAATTATGCAAGAAGAAAAAACAAGAACACTGTTTCCACAAATAAAGATAATTTACCCCCACTATATTCCTTTTATTACTTCTGTAATTTTAAGGATTGATATATGTTTTTAAAAGCTTGATCGCACTACACTTCTTTTGGCCAACATCTTTACAGTGTTATACACTAGTACTCTATACACTCATTATTTCACTGTGTCTTAAAGAAAATGTACATGAGTACATTTATTTCATTAAACTACATTAAATGAAACTACAATGGGAACAGTGTAAATTCATATCTCAAACATTCATATCTTAGAAGCAAACGGACTTTATGTAAGTTCTAGAACAGAAGTTCTTACCTCTGGGGTTTTCTACAATTTCTTGTTTTCAATGCATTTTAAAAAATAAGGAGGGTCTGCTTCTGAAGCCCTCTGAAGTATGACCAGAACTAAATCCATTCGTTGAAGCAATTAAACTATATAGATCTAAATCTCGTACAGAAGCCAGTCACACACATGATCCCATTACACTAAAAATATAAAGCAATGTAAGTCAATTTCTCTCCCTCCAAAAGGGATAGCGTGTTGCTAAATTATGTCACTTTACCTGTGCGAGTACTTAAGATTTGCAAAGTCTCAAGCATATGTTACTTTAGACAACTATAGTTTAAAGAATGAATATTCACCCCACACGCACCTACTTCCATGAGTTTCAGGGTTTTAGTAAAACCCATTTTTGATTAATTTCTAATAGGAAACACAGTGACACGGGTGTTACAGTGTCAGTCATCAGAAACTGTCACTCAGTGCATGTGCACAAGCAAAATCCACTTGACATTTCAGAAGAAAAAAAGTAAAGGCATATTATACAGAAGGAATGTGAGTCCTTGAATGTGAGTCTATAGCAACAAAAACAGGAGCCGTAGAAGTGTTTGCTAATATTTTAATAATCTCTTAATGCTACCCTTTCTCAGGATTCTCAGATATAAGGTAGCTGGAACTTCAGGCCATTTTTAGGCATTGGACCTATAATCTGATGGCTAAAGAGGTTTTTTGTTTAAAATCGTTATCTAAAAGACAATTTAGAGGCCTGAAGCCTCTTTATAATATTTCCAACACAGTGCCACTTCTGTTTACCAAACCCTCTTAAAACAAAATCTAGAGAGGAAAATATTGTCTTTTACAGTTTCCATTTGAGTACAAACATTTTTTCGTACTCATTTCAGCATGGATTTATTTGTGCACTGAAAAATACATGTCCATCTTTTACAGCCAATAAAGCAACTTTCCATATTTTGCAAAATATAATCCAGGGTCTCCAAGGCATTATGTAAAACTTACACGCCTGTACCTTATTTGACTTCCCTGCTTCCAGTGTATTTACCTCCCAGAGATAATAGCTCATTTTAACCGCAGCAACACTTCATCTGACCAGGCCACAATGACTTTACCAGAGCATTCACTGAACAGACCTAGAAACTCATAAACTCCCTGCACTGCGAGGTGAGTGGCTCACTCAGTCCTGGCTCCTGGGGGAAGAAACAACAACCAACTTACCTCGGCAGCCATAAAACTATAAACTGATGGGCAGGGTGACAATTAAATCGTGACACTATCATTCTCAACTATTGTTTTTTTCAAATATCAAGACATCTTCCTGTTTTCTTTTTTGCTATACTATCTTTTTTCTTGGTTTAGGCTTCATTCATTCAAAAATGAGAAGGCTGCTCTCGAAGTGTTCATTAAATTATATCCTAAAATGAGGCACAAGTTGTTTGTTGTGTAAAAGTACCACATTCGATCAGTTTACTAGCTGCGGGCTTATATTATCTCTCACCTACCTGAGAAAACAAATATTTTATTACTGACGATCATAGAGATCTTAGTCAACAGAGTTAAATTAGAATACAGAATGCCTGCTTATGGTCAGTATCAGTTTTTATAATGATGGCTGTGAAGTTTTAAAATGTGTCCATAGGTATATACTTTCCAAATAAGCTACTTCCTATGAGCAAAGCTTTTAGAAAGCCAGTCCTCAAGAGCAAGAATGTCTGTCTTAAAGGAAGGGTTTCTCTTCACCCTGCAAAGGGTTAAGTGCCTGCAAGGCCAAAGGCACCAGACTGCAAAAGAAATGTTGCTTTAGTAAGCTCTGAAAGGTTTCTAACAAGTACCAAATACTTGTTGATCTGTTCACAATAAACACCAGCAGGACTGTCAGGCTCCTTTCACTGTCTAGGGAGATGCATTTACATACTGTACCCAGCAAGAACAGCTTGTTGGTCTCCTTTATAAAAGTTTAGTAGCTAAAAGCCTCATTCAGTGCCTCCCATCCAAATACTGAAAGAAGATGCAATTGAAATAGTGAAGTCTGGCCTGGGCAGCACAAATACTGTGCATAAAACACTTGGAGTAGTTCAGGCAAACCCACCTGAATGGAGGGAGAACACTGTCTGTTGCCATGGCAGCCTGATCTAATTACATGAGTGATCAGGGTTGGAGTAAGTGCCCGGAAAACCTACACCACTGACACTATCCGCATGATGAGAAAGACAGGCGGGCGGGAGGTTCGGGGGAATCCTTCAACCTCTGCTTTCTGTGGAGGGTGGCATTCAAGCCCATTTATTTGCAGAGCTGCTAAAATATTGACTGATGCACGCACAGTTAGAGGGCAGTCAGAGGAGACTAAATGCCACAGCATTAGCTGCTGTGGTGCAATCCCTTTCCAAGAGTTCATATGCAGGATTTTCTCTTCGCTGCTGGCTTCCTCAGGCACAATCTTCATTCCCCGCAAAATGCCTAAACTATCTCTGCCCCGCTAAAATAAACCCAAGGGTGGGTTGAAAGGGGCTTCTAGGAATTCAGGGTTCTTGAGAAACCCAAATAGATATGATTTACCTAACGCTGTCAGAAAAGTAACTAGCTATGCCTAAAAATAACCAGCCAGTACCCGCTGCTATGTGCTATACAAAAGGGCGATGTTTAAATATTAAGAACATCCTGCATTATAAAACACAAATGTCATTGAGATGTGACTACTAGATTGCCCAAGGAGAACTTATTTGCATGCACACATTCCCTCGCACGCAGCGCAGGATGTGCACAGAGAACGCCACTCCAAGGCATTAGTTTTTATTCTGTGGGTGGAACAGGGTCTTCTAATTTTGCCAATTGCATCCTGTGGCTCTCACAAGGAAGCTAAAAATCTCTTCGGGGACAGAACCAGTTTGGAGGAGTCCCTACAGCACAACATACGGTAAACAAAATAAAAATAGCTTGCCGTTCTTGTTAGCCACATCGCGCATTATATAACCAGCTTCCGACTGGCTTTTTTTTTTTTTTTTTCGCCCTTACTACTCTTCAGCAATTTTCCAATCTTCCCAAGTATTTATATTACCCTCTTATCTGTAGGATTATATACCAAGAAAGCAAAACAAAACAGAGCAGCCACGGGATCAAACTGAACTCTACCATCTTAGAAACCGATTTTTTTTTTTTTTTTTTTTTTGGTTTTGTTTTGTTTTCTGGCGGAGTCTTGATCACCAACCTACTTCCACCCCCCTCTAAGGTTCTCGCTCAATCTCCCTAGAAAACCTGAATTGTTTCATCGCTTCCAGTCAGCCCAGTACGTGGTCTGAAATAAAATGAAAGCGCAAGCCACGGAGTTGAAGGAGGCGGCCTGAGGGCTGGGGGCTCCGGAGAGGTCGCGGCGCGCGGAGTCCGCCAAGTGGCCCCCGGGGTCCCCTCCCCAGCGCGACGACCCTCGGCCCCCCACGGGTGCGCGCGCATGCACACACTCACACTCGCACACACTCACACACTGGCACCCACGCCGCGCTCCCACACCGCCTCACCTCTCGCTCCGCCCGGCTGGCCCCGTCCCTGCCCCCTGCCGGACCGGCCTGCGCGCCGCGCTGGAACCACGTAGGAGGCGGCGGCGGCGGCGGGAGTGGCGGAGTCTCCAGCCCGGCCCGGAGTGAACGAGCTGCGGGGCTCCAGGGCGCATCCCAGTCCCCGCAGCACCTCCTCCTCCGCCGCCGCCTCCTTCCCCTCCTCCTGGCTTCATTCACCCTCCCAGCCGCCGCGCAGCCGATCACTCCCGGCGCAGGGCAGCAGCGCCTGCCGCGGCTTCTCCGCGCCTGCCGGGCCCGGGCCGGGGCGCTCGCGGGCT